CTGCCCACCCAGATCTAGTGTTATGGCCCTTCCCATCTATCCTCAAAATAGAGGCAAAGAGGCTGCCTCTTTCTTTTCTGCACCAAGAGGAGGGTGGAGAGGGGCACAATGCAATGCCTAAAATCCAAATTAAAAACAAAAAAAATCTGAATTAAAAACAAAAATATCCCCTAGCCTCTGTCATTTCTGCTCCCAGCCAGAGGCTTGGCTATGCCTCATCAGCCAGCCACACTCTCCCTCCCTTCACACCATGGTTTTCACACTCTCTTGCTCCATCCCTCCCTCTTGCACAACACCCCTTGTGCTCACACCCTGTTCATAGCACATGGGGGAGGGGTCTAAAAGAAAGGTGGGTGAGAATATAGGGACAGAGTTACTGGCCCTACACAGCAACCAGGAAAGCACTGCTGCACTTCCAGATGCAGAGCTCGTGTCAGCCAGCAAGTGGTTAAAAGGACTCAGGCTCCTTAAACTCTGAAGAGAACAAGCTGCGGGTTTGTTCCTATCCCAGCTCACTCCAAGGGGCCAATAGGCAGCATGGGCTGGTGCCAGGCAGCAACAGCTGAACCCTCATCCTCTCTTTTTCTGGGGAAGGAAGGGAAAATTCCTTTCTTCAATTGCTCATCCCACGCTTGGCTCCTGACTCCAGCGCAGGGAGTGGGTGGGTGGCCTGAGATCCAGCCCTCCCTGGAGGGACAATGGAAGCTGCAGAGCCATCCTGAAGTAGCACATTTGTGAAAGCCAGAGGCCCCAGGACCTCACTGCCTCTCAGCGGCTCATAATTGTTCAGGTCTCAGGGTACAGAGAGTCTGAGATGGTTCCTGCTACCTCTCTCAAACCCCACTCTGGTCTCCAAGAAACAACACATGGTCAGGATATTAAAGCCTCTCCCTCAACCTCCAGCCTTTTTGCCTTGGTCTCTGGAGCCTCCCCTCCCAGGCAGGCAGAATCCTTGTTCTGACCCCAGCAAGGAAGTCAACATCTGTCCTACAGACACCTTGGGGACAAGAGGGCCACCATCCCCACAAAGCCTCTTTGGGGCACGGAGCAGGAGCAAGTCAACTCAGAGGGGACAGGAAGAAGACTCCTTGTAGCAGTAATTTCTATTAAATAGCCAGTAGCAGGGAAGATCTCAGTCATCCTTTTTTTTTTTTTTTTTTTTTTTTTTTTTTTTTTTTTTTTTTTTTTTTTTTTTTTTTTTTTTTTTTTTTTTTTTTTTTTTTTTTTTTTTTTACTGGGACAGCTCCCATTCTCCTGCCCTCACCCGGTGATCTCCACCATCTCTGAAGGCCCTGACATATCACAGCTACTTTCTACCTGAAGCCAACTCACTGCCAGGGCCAGGCTGGGGTTACAGGATTATTGTCCTGCCTCCTTCTCCCCCACTACCCCAACCCCACCCCATTATACAGTGGCAATCCCAGGAGCACAGCCCTAAAAGATGTGGATTCATGGAGCATCAATGCACACAGCCACTAAACCACCAGGCTGGCCTTGTTCTCAACACCACATTCAAGGCTCTTCTCCTTCTGGTTACAATTGTGGCTGTGGCCATGTCAGATGCAGGGAGCTGAATGAAATGTGGCATTTTTTAAATGACTTTCATCCAAGGATCTTGGCAAGCAGCATAGGAAAGCTTCCCCCTGCAAAAGGAGCCACTGAGGATGGAGCAACCCATAGTATGTTGCACTGCACAAGCTGTTCCTCGTTTTCATTGTTAATGGAGGGCTGGCAGAGCACTCGGCTCCACGTAAGCCAGACACAGCAATGCAGTGGCTCCCCTAAAAAACCTAGTTCCCACACACGCGTATCAATACACAACCAGTAAAGAAACCTAAATGGCTGCCGGGTACTTTAAAATAGCCAGATCACTTTAGCAACCACTTTCAAACAGCAAATTAGATGCATACAGAATGAGCCAAAGGGGTTGGAAGCACATCATGCTCAATGTAGTTCATGTGTCAAGTTTGCTAGTTAACTGGAATCTGATCTATGCATGGGTAAGCATTCAGAGCACACCATGCTACAGGGCAAAACAGTCCAGGACAGAGCATGTCAGGGGTAATAACAGGCATAAAAGGGTCAATGCCACTTACCAACTTGTTGTTCTCATAAACGTTCTCTTTGCTGAGGGAGTTGAAGTTTCTGCAACATAGAAAAAGGAGAAAGGCTTTATTTTGGTGATCTAGAGCGTCCTGCCTCAATGCCAGCTTCCCACGCCCCTTGGAGTCCGATTCACTGGGAGGTGGCCTTGGAGATGAACCCCAGCAGGTTTTATCCACGATTCCAGATGGACAAGGACCTGCGAAAGGGGCTCTCATGAGGACAACGGTGTTCGGTGCAACCTGCCAGCACAGCCATCTGCGAGAACATTTCTGGCTCACCTTGCCATCCAGTGCCTGCTTCGTTACCCTCAGGCATGCAGACGGGGGCTATGCCAAGCCTCTGTATAAAGCCAAGGGTTTTGCAGCAAGAGAGAGAGATGAAGACTTCCTTCATCCCTTCATAGAGCCCTGGCTCCTTCCCCATTTCACCACAGACACCTGAGGCCAGACAGATCACAGCACCTGCCAGGAACAGCACTTCCCCAAACAATGGCACATAGGACCCTGTCCCTCCCTCAGACTTGCCAGTCCCTGACCGACTTCGTACATCAGAGGAGGCCCGGCTGTGATGCTCCCTTCTTCAAGGCTTTGGTCAAATGGTTGCAAATCTCATGAACTTCTTGAGACCACAGGAGTCACGTACATCATAGAAGCAGCTGGTCCAAGTCGGTCCACTTAGACTGAAAAAGCACCAGTCAATCTGGAGATCTCATTCACATCCACCAATGAGGTCACTCAGCCCAGACGCAGACACTAACCTATCCGATTCGTTTTGTAACCAGTTGCTTAAGAATATAAGAAGTGCCATATTGTGTCAGACCAGTGGTCTATCTAGCCCAGTATGCTGTCTCTAACAGTGGCAGAAATGGATGCTGTAGAGGCAGAGCACTGAATCGGATCTCTCTAGGATGACCTATCCCCTATTCAATATGCTCCCTGGCATCCACCGCAGTCCTTATGCATTGCCACTAGGACATTATGGGGTTGCAGAACTAAAGCAAAATATTTACAGCAGAGAGGACACATGAATTAATCAGGAGGGTAAAAAGAAGAAATATTTGTGTGACTTTTTTTGCAGAGTTATAAATCCAAACTTTGGATTTCCTCAAGCTCTTAAGCAGCCTCCTTTTTAAAAAAAAAACACTATCCATTCTCCATCTAACTTCAAGGGAACAAAGCACAACCATATAAGAAATCCAGGATAAAGCTTACTCCCAATTCATGGTACGAATATACAAGTTTGCCCCACAACACAAGATCCTTTGCACAAACTTTACTGAAAATAAGGGATAAGCTGTGTTTCTTATTTACTTAATACAGAACGCAGATCGTTAAGCACCAAATAAGAGAGGTTTATTAATAAATGAAAAGCAATGGCCGTGTTCCAAAAAGGCAGGAAGATTCATCCTTTGGTGAACAGAGGTTTGAAAACAGCCCATCATTGATTTCAGATTTCAAAATGATCCAACTACATTTTCTCTGAAATCATTTCCTTTCATCAGTGCCACAAACTGTCACCATATCTCTGCTCAACACATCTAGATCAAGAATGCCTATTTCCATGGCACAGCTGAGCAATCACCCATGGGAACTGGTAAGCTGAATGGAATGAGAACCGATGAAGAAATCCCAATTATAAAATCAGGCAAGACTTACAAAGCCATTCCCCTCTCTCCTTGTCCAAATGGACTCCTGACTTGGGGCTTTCCTGCCTCAAGACAATGGTTTAAAAGGAATAACGAAAATAATGATAAGGAGTCTCAACACATCATGCCACTCATTAAAATCATCCTGCTTCATCCCAGACAAACCAAACAAAACCATCTTCCTATTATCAAGGAAGGGTATTTTTGTGCCTAAAAGCTTGTCCAACATCTCTCCCTATTACTGAGTTTGTCCAATAAAAGATATTACCAAATGCATCTTGTTTCTTACATATTCCCTGGACCATTACAGCTACAGCAGCACTATAGGACTACTGTACATCCGCCTACCATTCATGTCCCTGGGACAAAGAACTTGGGTGGCCCATGGGTACAACTTTAACACCCCACATGCATGGGCAGTTCTATACCATGCAAGATGCCAGCATGAAGAGCTAGCTCTCCCTTCCCTGCAGGCTGTTCGCTACTCACAATCAAAGAGCCACATGGATAAATTTAGGTTAAACGCTAAAGGGAAACTTTCCCTAACAGCAGAATCTGTCAGACCAGATTAATCCCCCAAGGGGAGACTTATCACTTGAATCATTTAAGAATATAATGCAGGGAAAAGTCTGGGCCTCGCAGGCTTTGGACGAGATGACCTAACAGTTGTTTTCCAAGTCTGGTCTCTCTGTTTTTAAGGACACACAACATAGGTTTTTGAGGACACTGAGAAAAGAGCAAAGAGTAGCAGCTTAAGCATAAGGTCTTTTTGCAGGGAGTCCAGGTAGGCTGGACCGGCGATGGAAAGGCACTGCAGCACTGGAACAAATCCAGGCTTTGCTCTGTATCGTTCAACCTGTCTAGGCACAGCTGTGGGGCATCCACAGAAATTACCAGTGCCAGAGGTTTAAAATAGTGCTGAATAAATTAAATTTCAGTCTCAGCTACGCTCTGTCCCCACCGCTTCATCCCCTTGCATTTCTGGATACTGCAACACTAAGAGTAGATGAATCAAATTTGGGATGGAAGCAAGAGGTAAAAGTTCAGGTCTCTCTAATGAGGGGCATTTAAGAAATCCCCTTCATTTCTCTCTGAACAGAACCTACACAGTCAGGTTGGCTGCTGTTTCCACCTTAAGACCCCCCACAGTTGTTCGTCTCCCTACTGCAGAACAGATCCCTCATCAGCTAGTCACACGAATTAGATGACATATAATATTTCCTCAGGGAGCTGACTTGCTAATGCTCTTTTTAGTCCGTTATAGCAATTGTCCTCTGGATCAATAGACCCATAATCCTCAGGAAGCAAAGTTAAAACAATGGGAAAACTAAACCAGAGCCTGAGATTTCTCCACTGAGGAGACACAGGCGGTTCTGTTAATGGGGAGGGTGGAGAAACATCTGTCCGGCCCTTCAGGAAATACTGGGGTGGCAAGAGAGCGAAACAGAGTATGTATGGGAGCCTGTAGCCACAACTTTTCCTGAGGACACAAGCTCTTTCCTGAGTGAAGAGGCAGCCTGTGTCCCTGCTCCCCATGAGCAATCTGCTGCCACAGCCCTGCCGCCTCCACGGGGCTGCAGCTCATCCCGTCTCGGAGTCCCTCCCCAGCACAGGTGTTTCCTTAGGAAGAATCCCAGCTGCTCCTTCAACTCAGCCATCGGATCTACCAACGCAGCGCGATCCCACAGCTGCTCGCCGCGACCAAGGGCAGGAAGCCAGCTGAAGCTGCCCGTGGGGAAGGTCAGGATGACCTTAAGTGGCTTGGCTTTGCACGTCTTTCTACCTTGTTCCCTAGGAGCAGCAGGTCGTGCTCTGTGGAGCCACGTGCCTATAGCAGCACAACTCTTGCGCAGGCCTGCAGATATAAGCCCAGCCCATTCCACCAGCGGCAGCTTCAGCCTTATGCCACTGCAGACAAGCGGCTTGTGCACACCCACCAGCCCACAACCTTCCCAGCCTCTCAACCACAAAGTCACACACAGGCCAGCTCAAAACCATGTAACTGCAAACGAAAAAGGAGCTGCACACTTTCTGCAAAGCTTTACTTTGCCTCAGGCCTCTGAAAAGCCTCGGGTGAGTCCCCTACAGAGGCAGGTGAAGCACAATTTCCACACCTCTGAACTGCAGCCCACGCCCATCCTCCAGCCTGCAGAGGACAAAAGGTCTCTCTGAACAGAAAGGGACTGAGATATCCAAGTTCTGCCTAAATCCATAACTGATCCAGAAAACCCCCCATATGATTCCTGCCAAACCCTGGAGGCACTGAAAGTCCCCCGAGAGCTCCAGATCTGAGTTTAAAAGTTCCCCAAATACCTGAAGTCTCAGGTCTCCACATACCCAGAAGCCCACGGTCTTGATTGCACTGCACAGCTCGACTCCTGCTTCACACCAAAGTCCCATCGGGATTCACAAATGGGGCATCCCCATCTCTCCCCTGTGGGCTCTACTCGGGAGGCGCTCCTCACTCTGCACAAATACAGTGGCTGCCAATGCCTCTTCCACCTGCATGTGATGGGATGGTGCCACCCCCAGCCCCTCCTGTTGAAGCCTGCTCAGTTATGGAGAAGGATGCAAAATACAGAAACAGCCCTTGGAGCCAGGACTGCAACCCAGGCCTTGCCTCTCGCAGGTGCCCGAGGTAACAAAGAGGCTCCAGTCCTCCTCACTCTTACTCCCTTTCTCAGGGCAACACATCTTCAACTCTTCTAGGTAGAATCAGCCTCAATGGAAAGGGTCAAGAACGACTGCCCACACCTTTGGACACCCTGACGTCAGGCACTTGGGATACCTGTGCAAGTCCCCTTGGGCAGAGAGGAGTACCAAACATGTAAGTCTTCCACATCCTGAGTGCACTAACCATGAGACTATCATGAAAGCAGAGGGACTCTTCACTGTTTTAAAAGAAAAGAGTGAGCCCTGCTCACTAGTTGAGGGAAAAGTCACAGGCACCCCCCAAATAGGGAGGGCTTAAGGTAGGAATCACTAGTGAAGGAAGGCGCTGAAGACTCAGCAGGGCAGGATTTCAGACCCACCCCATCCTCGCAGTTTCTCTATCGCTAGCTCTTGGCAGCTCCATGCAGCACAATCGTGTGTGCTGCACCTTGCACGCCACATGCATGCAAGGAGCCTGGTCACCAAACTCTAGGCTCTGTGCTCTGCTTGGGCCCAGATGCCCAGGAGGCACTGCGATGTTCAGAGCTGCAGTGCCTCACTCCCTTCTTGACCCAGCCCAAAGGGAGTTGGTGTCTGGGAGTGCTATGGCTTATTGATTTCAGTGCTGGCAAGCAGGTCATTCAGACAGGCTGGGCAAGTAAAAGCAAATAGTCTGGCTCTGTGTACTGCTAAGCAAACTCACCGTAGTTCTCAAATTCCAGGGTAGTTACCCCCAGGCCGACCCACACACCAAAGTCAGGAGTCCCCAGTTATAGTCACCTGTGTCTGTCCTACAGTGCTACCCACTCCACTCCTATCTGCAGGATCTATGTACAGACCCCTCCCTGCTGCCCAGGTTTGCCTGATCTCACTAGCCGATGATAACCACGCAAACCTCTCCTGAAGAAGTGCAGGCAACACTCAACAGATCCTCAGTTCCAGTCACCTAATGCTACTCAGCCTTTAGTGTTCAAAGGATTTCAGACCCATTCAAAATTCCCATGCAGGGGAAGTCATGCCATTTCACAACCTGGGAAAGAACAATATCCACAGGCTGAAAGAGAGAGGGAGGGGAAGAAAGATCTTAATCAAAACCTTGCCAGCAAAACTTCTCCACAACATCTGGAGCTAATAGAGCTAAAGAGAGAGCTCAGTTCCTTGGTTTTCTGATTTACTTTTTGGTATAGACTGTCAGAAACCCCCAATGTGGCCAATGGCATTGCCTTCAGTGGTCGATGCCAAGATTATGAACACCACAGCTCGTATCTTAGATATCATACCAACAAGGAAAGTTCCCTTTCTCTGACAAGCAATCACTTAATACTCTGGCTCTGTTCCTCAGCCATCAGTGAACTCAAGCATCTCTGAGATGCTGTGAAAGGGCATGTTGGGGGACGATAAGAAGTGCTCCTTTGTTGGGATGAAAGGGAACTGAATCTTCCTGTTTGTTCAGCCCTGTATTACTTCTTTATCAAAGTCCAATCTGCCCTAGAGTCCTGTAGCGACTGGGAAACGCAGTTCTGACCATAGGCAGCCTGCCATGGGCTCTGATAACACAGAACTGACATCAGCTACTTTGAAAGTTATCCTATTCGCCATATGCTCTCTGGCAGGAAACAGGAAGAGTTTTAAAAAAAAGAGAGAGAGAAAGATACCAGCCTCCAGCCCGATCTATGGACTCCAAACCCCAGAATAGAAACAGATTAACACAAAGGTTTGCCGGCTGCTACTCCCCAAGTGTCCTGAAGCAAGCAGCACCCTTTCCTGCATATCCCACCAGTCCGGAGATGTCATCTGCCTAGGTCAGGAGAGAAAAACCCAGCGTTACAACATTCTCCCCGCTGCTGATCTGTAAGTGGTCTGTGTGCACAAGCAAGCTCTGTCGCAAGCATACAGTGCTCTCCAAATACCAATTATCCCACTCTAGTTTTACTTCCAAAGCCATGCCCTTAAATCTCCTACTAGGATCTTTCCCAGAAACAGCAGGAGAAATTACTTCAGGCCCCCCATGATAAACAAGACACAAATGCATGTCTCGGAGGAGATGGGACTGGGACTAGCCACCCGGATCAAGGACAACAAGAAGTC